TTTTGAAAAAAGTTGCCACCGGTGGGGAATCGAACCTGGAACCCCTAGATTCAAATTTTCCGTCGAAAATCCCACTCGGCCATTTGAGCACTTTTTTGAAAATAGCTGGAAAACTGATTTTATGGTCAAAATGTGGGGTTTCAAGGGATTTTCGAGTGTAATTTTGAGTTAAAATTGGTCCTAACCACGTTCAAAGGTGCTAGAATTGTCTAAAGAGCCTCGGAGATCAATTTTTCGTCATGATATGTGTAAAAGATCGCGTTTTTTTTGGGAAAAAACTACCGTACCTCGTTCTCTCTCTCTCAAGCTAAAGAAACGTCATTTTCCCCCACAGAAACACCAATAAATCTCCCACCGGTAGGCCTTCGCCTATCGTTTACTGATCTAGAAACAAAGATAAATTGGGATTTTCGGGGGAAAAATGGAGACACGGGAAGACCATAAAATTGGGGGTAATAAATGAAGCCCCCCCTCTCTTTATCTGATTACTGTAGACAATTAACATGCATTTTATCTTTTTTTTTCTCTTATCAGTGAATCAGATAACACACCGTGTTGATGTTCTCCGGTGATTTAGTGTTCCGTGCGGGAGGAATTTACACAAAAATCGAGACAAAATCTATTAAAAAAAAATCAAGGGGATGGACATTGAAATCATCCAATTAGAAAAAGAGGTACTGTAGGCCTACTTTTTGGTCACTTTTTGCCGATTTTGTGGCTTTTCAAGGTTTTAAAAGAGCTTTTTGACACGTTTCAGACACTTCTATCACTCAAAAACACCTTTAAAACCCCTGTAAACCGATATTTTAACCCTAAAATCAATTTTCTAGCCATTTTTCAAAATCTGCTCAAGTGGCCTAGTGGGATTTTCAGCCGAATTTTGGGATCTAGGGGTCCCGGGTTCGAATCCCACCGGTGGCAAATTGTTTTTTTAACGTGTTTTTGGGGGGTTTCGGGAGCGGGGAATTCGAAAATCAAGGTTATAGATTCTGAAAATTGTGTTGAAACGGGGAAAATTGAATTTTTGAAGAAAAATATGCTGTTGAGCATTTTAACCTGAAAAACCTTTTTCAAACTAACTTTTGACTCAATATGAATTGAGTTTCTAGCAAAAAAGATTGCCAAAAATCAACCAGAAAATAGATACTGTAGATGGCTGGAAAAAAACGTTTTCGGTCATTTTTTACAGATTTTTAGATTTTAAAAGGTTGAAAATAGTCATTTTCGACATTTCTAACACTCAAAAACACGTCTGAAACCCCTGAAAACCTAAGTTTCGACCTTAAAATCAATTTTCTAGCCATTTTTCAGAAAATTGCTCAAGTGGCCTAGTGGGATTTTAGACGAAAATTTGGATCTAGAGGTCGCGGGTTCGACTCCCATCGGTGGCAATTTCTTTTTTTTACTGTTCTTAGGGGTTTTCAGAGGCGGGAAATTCAAAAATCAAGGTTAGAATTCCTGAAAATGTTGCTAAAATGGTGAAAATGAGACATTTTTGTCAAAAAATCACTTTTCGGGCGTTTTAACATAACTTTCAACCTAAGAAACCTATTCCAAGCCAACTGTTAACTCAAAAATCAAATTTCTAACAGAAGGGGTGGGCAAAAAATTGACCAATTAGAAAAATAGATACTGTAGACGGATCTACTGGCTGGGGAAAACACGTTTTTGGTCATTTTTTACAGATTTTAAGACTTTAAAAGGTTGAAAATAGTCATTTTAGACGTTTTTACAACCCAAAAACACGTCTAAAACTCTTAAAAATCTATATTTTGACCCGAAACTCAACTTTCCAGCTATTTTTCCAAAAAGTGGTCAAGTGGCCTAGTGGGATTTTCGACGAAAAATTTGGATCTATAGGTCACGGGTTCGACTCTCACCGGCGGCAATTTCTTTTTAAAAATTGATTTTAGGGGTTTTCAGGGGCGGGAAATTCAAAAATCAAGGTTAGAAATCCTGAAAATCCTGTTGAAAGGGTGAAAATGAACATTTTTCATTTGAAATACGCCCAAAAATTTTTTTTCTTCCGGAATTTTTCTCAAATTACACACATCCAAGAAAACCTACATTTCTCAGGAAAAAAAGAGAAGAAGTGGGGTCCGGAAGGAAAGACTAAAAACAAACAAAAACACTCATATGTGTATTCCTGTGTGTGTGTATTTTCGGGTCATATCATTCTTCTCTGTTGCACAACAAGTGTCACTCTATTGTTATAAGAGTAACATGATCCATAGAAACAACTAGAACACACATTTCTAAAAAAATCCAAAAAAAAAAATTTTTTTTTCATCAAAAAACATCGATTTTAGCTTTTCAAACTTAATTTTACAGCTTTAAAACCCTTAAAAACCCCCTAAAAACCTATATTTTGACTTTAAAATCATGTTTCTAGCCATTTTTCAAAAAAGTGCTCGGATGGCCTAGTGGGATTTTCAGCTGACATTTTTGAGGCGAGAGGTCCCGGGTTCGAATCCCACCGGTAGCAAATTCTTTTTTAAAGTTTTTTCTTTGGGTTTTCAGGGGCAGGAAATTCAAAAATCAAGGTTAGAAGTCGTGAAAATCAAGTTTAAGGGGTGAAAATTAGGTTTTTCTCAAAAAAGTGACTAAAATGTAATTTTTTAGGTAGTTTCTTGTACATTTAGCACTTAAAACCCCTTAAAAACCCCCTAAAAACCTATATTTTGACTTTAAAATCATGTTTCTAGCCATTTTTCAAAAAAGTGCTCGGATGGCCTAGTGGGATTTTCAGCTGACATTTTTGAGGCGAGAGGTCCCGGGTTCGAATCCCACCGGTGGCAAATTCTTTTTTAAAGTTTTTTCTTTGGGTTTTCAGGGGTGGGGAATTCGAAAATCAAGGTTAGAAATCGTGAAAATCAAGTTTAAGGGGTGAAAATTGACTATTTTGTAATTTTAAAAAATTTTCAAAAAAAAAATTTTTCCAAAGAAAAAAAAACGATTCTAGACTGAATCAACTATGTTGAGTCCGTTTTTCAGGTCCGCAACCTCTAAAAACCTCATTTTCCAACCCAAACTACAGTATTACCCAACTCTATTGTTATAAGATAGTAACCCCAATGACCCTGTCAGTTTGTTATTGTATAATACTCCAGAATGAGGGCAAATAGAGAGGGTCCATCAGGGATTATGCAATCTTGAGTGGATAGGAAATAATAGGATGAGAGACAATAGACAGGTGATAAGAGACAAAATAAGGAAAGGGGACCAAAATTCGTAACTTGTTCGATCCTGGAACATTTTTGACAGTCCTAAAACTTTTGAGAAAGCCGGAATTTCAAATTCAGCTTGTTTTTTAAAATACCAAAAAAAAATTTCAGCTTCCTAGGACTCTATAAACCAAGTTGTACCCATTTAAAGTTGGTGGCCTAGAAATCCCCAAAAACAAAAAGTTAGGTTACAAATTTATAAATTTTCGGTTGCCCAAATTTTATGGAAGCTATGGTCCAAATTTCATGCTATTCGGACCAGTGGGGACCGAGTTGTAGCCGTTCAAAGTTGGTGGCCTAGAAATTCCTAGTTTTGGATTTCTAGGCCATCATAATTTTTTTTTCGAACTTTCCATGCCGTCAGCTATCTATTCACAAAATTTCAAGTTTTTAAGACACCTAGGAGCTGAGATATGAACGTGGCCGAGTTTTGGGTTTTTAGGTCACCAAATGCAAAATGCTGTAACTCGGCTCCCAGTGGTCCAATCGCAACTAAATTTGAACCATAGCTCCCACTAAATTTGTTCTATGGAAAAACTATAAACTCGTGGCCTAGAAAATTCTGAATTTCGATTTCTAGGCCACCAAGTGCAAATGACCGTAAATTTGTTCAAAATGCATAATTTTCGAATCTGAAAAGAGCATCGTTTCTAGATTTTCAAGTGCTTTCAATTAAATTTAGATGGACAACTCTAGATGCGTAAGTGGGCAAAATTTCGTCTTCCTAGGTCCATTTTGAACCGAGAAAAAGACATTTGAAGTTGGTGGCCTAGAATTCGCAAGCATGGCCGAGTTTTGGATTTATAGGTCGCCAACATATTCTCAACATCTTTAACCTTCTACCCACGAAATTCCAAGTTTCTACAACCCCTATGAGCTGAGATATGAATGTGGCCGAGTTTCGGGTTTCTAGGCCACCAACTGCAAAACGCCGTAACTCGGCTCACAGTTGTCCTATCTTCATGAAACGCGAACAGTAGCTCCCACTAAACTTGCTCTACCGAAAAACCATGAACCGATGGCCTAGAAAATTCTGAATTTGAATTTCTAGGCCACCAAATTCAAATGGCCGTAACTTTGTTCAAAATTCATATTTTTCGAATCTAAAAAGCTCACCTAAGGTTTTGAGTCATTTTAGACACTTCTAACACTCAAAAACACCTCTGGGACCCGTGAAAACCTAAAATCCGGCTTCAAAATCCATTTTTTAGCAATTTTTGAAAAAGTTGCTCACATGGCCTAGTGGGATTTTCGTCGAAAAAGTTTGAATCTAGAGATCGCGGGTTCGAACCCCACCGGTGGCAACTTCTTTTTCAGATTGTTTTTGGGGGCTTTCAGGGGCGGGAGTTTGAAAAATCGGGGTCAAAACGCCTATGAATTAAGTTGAAAGGGTGAAAAGCAGAGTTTCGGGGCTAGAAAATCGAATTTCTGGCCCCGAAATTGAAATTTTCTCCTGGAAAAAAGAAGAAAACCTAGATACAGTATTATAATTCATATCATAAAATATTATGGGAAACCACTAGAAAGTGACAGACAAATAGAGAAAAATTGGGGAAAAATGGGCCGGAAATTCTAACAAAAATCGGGAAAAAAAACAAATCTGGGGGATGAAATGGGGGAAGACTTGACAAGAAGACGTTGAAGAAGAAAGTGCGCTCCATTGCACATCTAGAATATCACAAAGAAGACGTTAGAGTTTGGGGGACTTGTACACTAGAAGAAGAGGAACAAAAAACCAATAATTTAATAATTTAAATTTAAAATTAAAATATCGATTTATTGATGGTACGGTGATTGACGATATCCCGGTCCGGCGGGTCCTCTAGCGAATGGGTTTCCTCCTGGGGCTCCTCCTGGAGCTCCAACTGGTGGGAAGGCTCCTTGCGGTGGTCCTTGTGGTGGCCCTCCAAACTGGCTCGGCGGTGGAGCAAAGGCTCCCGGTGGTGGTGGTCCTCCGGGTCCTCCAAACTGTCCGGGTGGTCCCTGGGGTGGTCCTTGCGATGGTGGCATTCCTCCGAATCCAGATGGTGGTGGGGCAAATGGTGTGGCTCCTGGAGCACCTGGTGGTGGTGGAGCAAAGTTGCCTGGAGCCTGTGACGTCACTGGTGGTGGTGGTGGAGCAAAGTGACCTTGTGGGGGTCCTTGTGGGGCTCCGAATTGTCCCTGTGGTGGTCCAAATTGGCCTGGAGCTTGTGGAGCTGGAGATGAGGCTCCGAATTGTCCTTGTGGTGGTCCCTGTGGTGGAGCTCCGAATTGTCCCTGAGGTGGTCCCTGTGGAGCTGGCGATGGTGCTCCAAATTGTCCCTGTGGTGGTCCCTGTGGTGGAGCTCCGAATTGTCCCTGCGGTGGTCCCTGTGGAGCATAACCTCCATACTCCGATGGTGGTCCCGATGGTGGTGGTCCTCCAAACTGTCCGGGTGGTCCCTGTGGTGGAGCTCCAAAGTTCTGTGGGGTCGATGAGACCGACGAGTGAGAGTGTTGAGGTGGTTGGAATGGAGCTGGTGGTGGAGCACCAAACTGCTGCTGAACTGGCTCCTGTTGAATCGGTGGCATTGCCGCATTGGATGTTGGGAACGATGGAATCGTGGCGTTCGGCGGTGGCATGGCTCCGAACTGCTCAATTGGCGGTGGTTGTGAGAAGCTCGAGTTTAACGAGTCCACAGGTGGTGGAGCATGGAAACTCGACTCCAATGGAATCTCCTCTTCAGCTGGAATCGATGGACGGTGATTGAATTGCTCCTGAACCGATGGCTGGATGGTGGCTGGGAGCTCCGGTTTCTCCGATGGAACTGGCGATGGTGGAGCTTCGTAGCTCTTCTGGAGATCGAGGTTATCGTGTTGATGGTGGTGAGTTGCTGATACGGATGTTGGTGGGATCGATGGAACGTGTTGCTGAGCAATCGTCGTGGCTTGAGAGCACGAATTGTCGGCCAACGAGGCAAGGTTGTCGAGGGAGGACAATGCGCCGAGGAGCTTTCCAACGTCGAGCTGAAAAAATCGGGGTTCAAATAGTTGAAAAGAGCTTAAGGATCACTCCGGGGGCATCCAGAAGACGTGAAAATTGATTCTGGAGCTTCTGAAGGCTTCTGAGCCATATAAAATACGTAAAAGTCAATGCTGGAGCTTCTGGAGCATCCAGAAGACAAGAAAACCGATTTGGGAGTTTTAAAAAGCGCCGAAAATGAACAAATATATCTTCTAGCCATTTTTGGCCCGTTTTCGATGGATTTCAGCGTTTTGACCTTTGTAAAAATTCAAAACCATCTCTGACGTCTTCTGGAGCCTCTAGAGCAGATTTTCACGTCTTCGGGAGCCTTCAGGAGCTGTATAGCCCAGTTGGCTCCTTTTTGAAGCTTACAAATCATCTCTGACGTCTTCTGGAGCTTCCGGATAGATACAGAGCGGTAGTTTCACGTCTTCTAGAGCCTTCAGAAGCTGAACAGCCTATTCAAGCTAACTTTTCTAATTATTTAAAAATGATTCGACGTCTTCTAGAGCCTTCGGAAGCCGTCGAGCTATTTTCAGGATCATTTTAGCCTATTTGGTACCTCTTCAGATTAGTTTTTCACGGCTTCTGGAGCCTTCATAGCCTATTTCAGCTAATTTTTCACCAATTCCAACAGACTCTGGCTCCAATTGCTCACCTTAATCTGCTCGACCTGTCTCTGCACATCCTGCACCACCTCGCGAGCCTTTGTGTCCACGACAACGGACACATCAAGTGTGGCTCCAACAGTGTTCAGCGCCAGAAGCAAATCCGAGTCGCTGGTCAGTGAGATAAGATCGCCGTCTGGAAATGGATGAATTTAGACTGAAACTGTCATTTTTGAACCAAAAAACGCCACTTTGGGCCAAAACTCCGCAATTTCAAGCCAAAAACCCACCTTGATCCTTATATTTCAACAAGAAATTGGCGTCAGACGGCAACGCGAAGATTCTCTGCACATTCAGCACCAAATCGATCAGCGTGAGATCGTTAGCGTGGTGAAGCGACGATTTGCGCACGTCGTCGGCGAGACGAGCCTTCAGAATCGTCGTGCTTGTGATGGCGCCGTTGGAGTGAACCATCTGGAAAATTAGGAAATTTGGGTAAAATAGCGGAAAATTCGGGTTAACATCGAGAAAAAACGCAAATAATGAGTTTAAAAAAGCTGAATATCGGTCAAAAATCAATTTTTCTAGTGCCACGTGGAACTTTTCAAAAATTAGCAAAAATTGACCGATTTTCAATGATTTCGGTGGGGTTTTGGGAATTTTTACGATGAATTTCGCCGTTTTAGAATAATTTACAGCTAAAAATCGAAAAAAAATTATTGAAAAATCGGTCAAAATCGAATTTTACATTATTCCACGTGGCTTTTTCGGAAACTAGCGGAATATCCGGTTTTCAACAATAAATGACCGATTTTTACTGATTTCCGAGTCAAAAAACGTTAAAAATGACGATTTGTTATAGGTTAAACCCTAAAAAACGAGATTATTAGAGTTTTTCAGGAAAATTCATTTTTCAATAATTTTTTAAAAATTCTAGCAGCTTTTTCAGTATTCTTAACAAATCCTGCTGATTTTTTACGCATAATTCATAGCAAAAAGTCTTAGGAAAATCGAATTTTTTTCGAAATTCTGGAAAAAATCGAAAATTAATATTTCCAGCCAATTTTCACACTTTTTCCAACGATTTGTTCGCTTCAAAACCTAATTTTTCGGTTTTAAAACTATCGAAAACCTATATTTCACAAGAAAATCCAAGAAAAATGCGAAAATCTGGACGAAAAGCGATCCGGAATCGCGATATAAAATAATTCCACGTTCGTTAAAACCGCGCCGCACCTTGCAAACGAGAGCCGTGCGGCGGTGGCAAAACAGGCCCCGCCTCTAAATAAGCTCCGCCCACCGCATATTTTAGCGCTTTTTCGAATTTCAAAAGCCTATTTCTCGAATTTCTAGGTGATTTTTCAGCGAAAAAACAAAGAAAATGTCGAGTTCTGATAATGACGAGCCGAAAGTGGTGGAAAGTAGGTGGAGAAACGAATTTTTTGCGACATAAAAATAAATAAAAAATTTTTAGTTCAAAAATTTGTTTTTCCAGTTTCCGATGATGAAATGGAGTGTGAAGGTGTTGTAGAAGTGAACAATGAGCAATCTGACGAGGCGAAAATGCGAGAATTCGCCGAAATCACGGCTACCGACGAGATAATGGCTCAGTCGATTCTCCAAGACGTTGGATGGGATTTAAAACGAGCACTGGACGTGTTTTTTGGCTCCGACGCGTTTAAAGAGACGAGAAATGAAGCTGTGATGGGTCCGAGCTCATCGGCGGTGGGGAATCAGCCTGTGATGACTGCCGAGGACTTGAAGGCAAGGATTTGGAGCATTTTGGAGCTTCAAGGGCGGAAAAGGCGTCTAAAATTAGATTTTTAGACATCCAAATTGATTTTCGCGGCTTTTTTAGGTCCAGAACATGCTAAAAATCCTCGAAACCCGTTGAAAATGGTCCAAAGTGATCTTGACCTGATTTCAGTCATTTTTGATTCATTTTTGCGTGTTTTAAATCATTATCAGCGATTTTAGGCCATTTTCAGACGTTAAAATCAATTTTACTGGCTTCAAAATGTCTAGAAACCTCTAAAAATGCCAAAAATTCGCTGAGAATGCTCAAAATGATTTTTACCAATTTTTTGACAGTTTTCGACCATTTTCAACGAATTTTGAGTGATTTTAGACGATTTTTCAGCGTCACAAGCATCTGGAACGTCGAAAACCGCTCGAAAAGCGATTTTTAGTCATTTTCAGTGATTTTGAGAAATCATTTTTGAGTGATTTCCAGAAGCCTAAAACCTGACTCTAAGCTGTTCTTCAGGGCTTCGAGCTCAGTCTCATGTCGTGGAACATTGATGGACTCGATGGGCGGAGCCTGGCGACACGGATGAAAGCGGTGGCGACTATTGTCAAAAAGTAGGTGATTTTTAGCAATTTTGCGGCTAGAAACACGATTTTCAAGCTCAAAAACGACTCTGGGACACCCAAAAACCCATTTTCGAACCAAAAAGTGAATTTTTTGCATTTTTTAAAAAATTGCACGGATGGCCTAGTGGGATTTTCGACGAAAAATTTGGACCCAGAGGTCGCGGGTTCGAACCCCATCGGTGGCAACTTTTTTTTAAAAAGTGTTTTTAGGGGGTTTCAAGGGCCGGAAGTTCGAAAATCAAGGTTTAAAAGTTCGGAAAGTCATGTTTTTGGACCATTTTCAGTCAAAAAGGTCGATTTTCAGACTCTGAAAAGTCGAAAAATCACGATTTTTGAAGTTAAAACGTTTTCAGGACCCCCCAAAACCCTATTTTTCGACCCAAAAATCGGGTTTTAGAGATTTTCCAAAAAATTGCACGAATGGCTCAGTGGGATTTTCGACGAAAATTTTGGATCTAGAGGTCGCGGGCTCAAACCCCACCATTGGCAACTTTTTTTTGGAAATGTTTTTAGGGGGTTTCAAGAGCGGGGGATTCGAAAATCGAGGTTTTAAAGTTCGAGAAATGAGTTTTTAGGCATTTTTGACCATTTTCAGCTCGAAAAATTGTAAAAATCGATTTTCAGCGTCAAAAATAAAAATTTTACAGAGTCAACCCGGACATTCTCTTCCTTCAAGAAGTCGTCGATCGTGATTTGGAGCCAATCGATAAGCTCCAATCACTCTATAAAATCTACTATTCCAACAAGGGATGTCAGTATTATACGGCGATTTTGGTGTCGAAAATGTTCGAAGTCGAAAAGCATGATGTCGTTCATTTTCAGAATTCCGGAATGTATCGAACACTTCAGGTAGGGGGGCTGAAAATGGCCCGAAATCCTCAAATATAGATTTTCAGACTTTCTAACATCAATTTTTGAATTTCCCGCACTCGAAAACACTCAAAAACACTTTCAAAAAGAATTTGCCACCGCGGGGGTCGAACCCGGGACCTCTAGATCCAAATTTTTCGTCGAAAATCCCACTAGGCCATCTGAGCATTTTTTTGAAAAATCGCTGGAAAATCGATTTTAAGATCAAACTATAGCTTTTCAAGACTCCCAGATGTGTTTTCGAGGCTCAAAAGCTCTAGAAATGTCTCAAAACCACTGGAAATTCCTGTGAAACATTGATTGTTGGTCCAAAAATGCCGAAAAATCATTTTCCGAGCTTTTTAACGTCGATTTTTGAATTTCCCGCTCTCGAAAACCCCAAAAAACACTTTCTAAAAATAATTTGACACCGGTGGGAGTCGAACCCGGGACCTTTAGATCCAAATTTTTCATCGAAATTCCCACTAGGCCAGATGTGCAATTTTTGGAAAATCGCAAAAAATCGATTTTAAGATCAAACTATAGCTTTTCAAGACTCCCAGATGTGTTTTCGAGGCTCAAAAGCTCTAGAAATGTCTCAAAACCACTGGAAATTTCTGTGAAACATTGATTGTTGGTCCAAAAATGCCGAAAAATCATTTTCCGAGCTTTTTAACGTCGATTTTTGAATTTCCCGCTCTCGAAAACCCCAAAAAACACTTTCTAAAAATAATTTGACACCGGTGGGAGTCGAACCCGGGACCTTTAGATCCAAATTTTTCATCGAAATTCCCACTAGGCCAGATGTGCAATTTTTGGAAAATCGCAAAAAATCGATTTTAAGATCAAACTATAGCTTTTCAAGACTCCCAGATGTGTTTTCGAGGCTCAAAAGCTCTAGAAATGTCTCAAAACCACTGGAAATTTCTGTGAAACATTGATTGTTGGTCCAAAAATGCCGAAAAATCATTTTCCGAGCTTTTTAACGTCGATTTTTGAATTTCCCGCTCTCGAAAACCCCAAAAAACACTTTCTAAAAATAATTTGACACCGGTGGGAGTCGAACCCGGGACCTTTAGATCCAAATTTTTCATCGAAATTCCCACTAGGCCAGATGTGCAATTTTTGGAAAATCGCAAAAAATCGATTTTAAGATCAAACTATAGCTTTTCAAGACTCCCAGATGTGTTTTCGAGGCTCAAAAGCTCTAGAAATGTCTCAAAACCACTGGAAAGTCCCAAGAGATCAGGTAAAATGGAATTTTTCCAGATCGTCGAAGGCTCCATCGGTGGAATGAAGGTGTTCCTTGTGAATACCCATCTCGAATCGATGCGTGATCATCGTGCTCAACGCATGGCTCAATTCAGTTTCTGTATGGATCGTTGCGCTGAAATCATTGCCAATAACCCCGGATGTTTCCTGTTTTTCGGCGGCGATTTGAATTTGAGAGATGAGGAAATTTCGAGTATTCCAGATGGCGTCCTGGATGCGTGGGTGTCGGCAGGATGCGATACGAAGACCAAATGGACGTGGGACACTTATAAAAATGACAATAAACAGGGCTTTAATGGCGCGAAAATGAGGTGAATATTTGAGTTTTTGAGAGGTTTTGGGGCTTAAAACCTCGAAAATCATGGTTTCAGGGCTCAAAAACGGTTCCAGGTCCCTCGAAACCCCATATTTTGACCCGAAAAGTGAATTTTTTGAGATTTTCGAAAAATTGCACGGATGGCCTAGTGGGATTTTCGACGAAAAAATTTGGAGCGAAGGGTCCCGGGTTCGAACCCCACCGGTGTCAACTTCTTTTTTAAAGTGTTTTTAGAGGTTTTCAGGGGCGGGAAACTCGAAAATCGAGGTCAAAAAATTCAGAAATTTTGTTTAGAGGGCATTTTTGAACCCGGAAACTTGATTTTTTTATTTTTTAAAGATTGGCTATAAGGCTAAAACCTTGAAAATCACGATTTTTAAGCTCAAAAAAGGTTCCAGGATCCTCGAAAACCCATATTTTGGCCCTAAAATCAGCCTTTTCGCGATTTTCCAAAAATTGCACGGATGGCCTAGTGGGATTTTCGACGAAAAAATTTGGAGCGAAGGGTCCCGGGTTCGAACCCCACCGGTGTCAACTTCTTTTTTAAAGTGTTTTTAGGGGTTTTCAGGCGCGGGAAACTCGAAAATCGAGGTCAAAAAGTTCAGAAAAGTAGTCTAGGGGATTTTTTGGGCATTTTTAGACCTGAAAATCTGAAAATTTGCATTTTTTTTTCTTGCAGATTCGACCGTATCTACTGGCATGGACCATTCAATCAAGTGCATTTCTCGCTGGAAGGCCGTCAACGCATTCGTTCGTGTCTCTGCTTCCCATCGGATCATTGGGCCATTAATGCCACGTTTTCGGCTGTATAAATTCTGAAATTTTCAGACTTTTTCGACCTAAACTCGCCTATTTTTTGTCGATTCTTACCTTTTCTCGCCCATTTCTCACCCCGATTCTCATTTTAAAAATTTTCCCCGATTGCTCATGCTTAAATACCTCACGCCCCCCCCCCCTCCTCTCACCCCGATTCTTCTAGATTTTACTGGTTCCTTTTTTACCCCGATTGTCTTATTTTCCCCTTCTACCTGTTCTTGAAAATGAATTGTACTTGAAATTTTCGTTTTTTATACATCTACAGTAATCCCACTGAATTTAAAGGCACGGGAATTGAAAGCCCTTAAAAAGCTAGAAACGATGCTCTTTTCAGATTCGAAAAACATGCATTTTGAAGCAAGTTACGGCGATTTGATCATGGTGGCCTAGACATCCATGCCTAGAATTTTCTAGGCCATGGATTTAAAATTTTTCGATAGAGCAAGTTTAGTGGGAGCTTCTGTTCAAGTTTTATGAAGATAGAACCACTGGGGGCCGAGTTACAGCATTTTGCAGTTGGTGGCCTAGAAATCCAAAACTCGGCCACATTCACATCTCAGCTCCCGGGTGTGCTAGGAACTCGAAATTTTGTGGATAGATAGTTGAGGACCATACTTTCAGAGTCCTATGGTTCAAATTTCAAGTCTCTAGCACTTCTAGGAGCTGAGAAGTACCCGTGGCCGAGTTTGGGATTTCTAGGCCACCATTTTCAAAATGCTATAACTCGACTCCTGTTAACCCTATCTGTATGAAACTTGAACCATAGACTAAAGAAACTTAGTGGCACATTTTCAAATAAGCTTCGGTGGCCTAGAATTCATAGATTTGGGTTTCTAGGCCACCAACGTCAAATGCCTTTATCTCGGGCCGTAGTGGACCTATGAAGCTGGAATTTTTTTTCAGGATCTTTAAAAAAATATGCTAAATTTGAAAATGCACATTTTTCAACCTATTTCCTCCCATTTCTTCTAGAAAGTGCTCTCTTTTGAGCTTTCCTCTGGATATTAATCCTTCTCTTGCTCTCTATGGCTCTTATATAATTACAGGTTAGGATGAGCAATTTCCAAAGAGCCAGAGAAAAGAGCCAACTGCAGAAATGGAGAGAATTTAGAGATTAGGAGAGGTGTGCATAGAAGAAGACCCTAAAAGGTGTATTATAATCATGGAGAAAGGAGGGTGGCAGGAGATTAAAACGGAAGCTCCGCCCACTTTTTGCGCGGACCACCACCAATTTTAATTTCCGTGTGCTGTTGAAACTAGAGAGATCTTATATACCTATAGACGAAATTTCAAGTTTCTAGCTTGTCTGGTAGACGAGATACGGCTATTTAAAGTGGTGGCCGAACTTTCCTGAGTTTTAGGGTTCCTAGGCCACCAAGGTTTTTGAATTTTAGATTTTCAACATTATCCTACCTTCACATCCCTTAGGTTCAAATTTCAAGTCTCTAGCACTTCTAGGAGCTGAGAAGTACCCGTGGCCGAGTTTGGGATTTCTAGGCCACCATTTTCAAAATGCTATAACTCGACTCCTGTTAACCCTATCTGTATGAAACTTGAACCGTAGACATATAATATTTAGTCACACATTTTTAAATAACTTTCGTGGCCTAGAATTCCCAGAATCGGGTTTCAAGACCATCCTCTTCAATTGAGCATATCTAGTCATCCGAAAGACTGTGGCAAATTTTTCATTAATTTTCAAGTTTCCCACATTTAACACTGTCTGTATTCCAAATTTCAAGATTCTAGAAATTATATGGGCTGTGGTATGGACATTTGAAGTGGTGGCCGAAGTTTTTGGGTTTTTGGGATTCCTAGGCCACGAAAACTTTCGAACTTTAGATTTTCAAAATTATCACATTTTCAAACCCCAATGGTTTGAATTTCAAGTCTCTAGCATGTCTAGGAGCTGAGCACCAGTGGCCGAGTTTGGGATTTCTAGGCCACCATTTTCAAAATGCTATAACTCGACTCCTAATGGTCCTACTGGCATGAAACTTGAACCATAGACATATAATATTTAGTCACACATTTTCAAATAACTTTCGTGGACTAGAATTCCCAGATTCGGGTTTCTAGGCCACCAACTTCAAATTTCCATATCTTGGCTACCAGACATCCTAGAAACTTGAAATTTTCACATTATCCTTTTTGTATGCTATGTTTTACGATTAAATAACTAATAATTTCCAGATTTGGGTTTTTAGGCCACCATGGACGAGTTTCTGGATAACGTCGACCTGAAAGAGGTTCGACGGAAGATTTACGTATTTTGTCACTTGTTCATTTTGGGATGGACTATTTGCCACGTCTGGGCCAGTTATCAAGTCTTTGGAGTTATTCTTTTTGTGAGTTTTCAGGCTAACACTTTTGTAATTGTCCGCAAAAAATTTTGAAGCCTAAACAATCGAATCCAACTCATTGAGAGCTTCAAAATGAGTATAATCATGACCTATTTTGCTTGATTTCTATTTTTCAAGGGTCCATGCGCATTTAAATCAAGTGTTACTGTAGTTTTCGTGGTGGGACCCGAAATCTACTAAATATTGACATGATTATACTCATTTTGAAGCTCTCAATGAGCTAATTTCAAACGTCTAGTTTTCAAAACTCCAAAATTTTCAGATCATATTATTCTTGGCATTTTTCTGGATCACCGTCGAGAACACTGCCATCGAAAAGTTGGAATTTGGACAGCGATTTTTGATCGTGTTTCTTCTTATCACTTTTGTCCTTTACTACGGTGGATTGTACATGATTCCGATTGTAAGTTTTTGGTGGCCTAGAAATCCAAATTTAGATGTTCTAGGCCAGATTTTTTTTTGATAATTTGGAGGAGCAAATTTAGTAGGAACTAGGGTTCAAATTTTATGAAGATTGGATTCCTGGGAGTTGAGTTATAGTCATTTGAAGTTGGTGGCCTAGAAACCCAAATCTGGGAAATCTAGGCCACGAAACCTATTTGAAAATATGCGACTAAATTTTGTAAGTCTATGGTTCAAGTTTCAAACCAATAGGGTCATAGGGAGTCCAGTTATAGCATTTTGAACTTGGCGGCCTAGAAATCCAAAACTCGGCCATAGGTGCATCTCGGCTCCCAGAAGAGCTAGAGACTTCAAAGCTGGTTTATAGATACTATTCAGTATGAGGAATCTGAAAGTTTAAAAATCGAAAACAACGGTGGCCTAGGAATCCCAAAAACTCAAAAACTTCGGCCACCACTTCAAATGCCCATATCTGAGCTCGTATGAATGCTAGAAGCTTGAAATTTCGAATACAGGCAACATGAAATGTGAAAAACTGAAAAACTTTAAAAAAAGCTGTGTAGGACAACCGGTAGGCGAGATATGCGCATTTGGAGTTGGTGGCCTAGAAACCCGAGTTCCGGAATTCTAGGCCACAAAAAATATTTGAAAACGTGCGACTAAACTTTGTAAGTCTATGGTTCAAGTTTCAAACCAATAGGGTCAATGGGAGTCCAGTTACAGCATTTTGCCGTTGGTGGCCTAGAAACCCAAAACTCGGCCATGGGTACTTCTCAGCTCATAGGAGAGCTAGAGACTTGAAATTTGGACCATAGGGGTTTGAAGACATGACAAATTTAAAAATCTGAAAATCAAAAAAAATCAGTGGCCTAGGAATCACAAAATCTCAAAAACTCGGCCACCACTTTAAATGACCGCATCTCGGCTCCCAGCGCACCTAGAAACGTGCAATTTTTCGAGGAATAACCAGAAAATGCTATATTTTAAGGCAGTGGTCCTGGTGATAATGCTAGTTGGCCTGGAAATCCTGTACAACGCTTTGGGTGAAATGCAAGAAAAAATCCAAAGACTGGAGAAAGACGTCGGGGAATTACACGACGCTCAAATGGCACCAGAATACGATGAAGAAGAGGAAATCAGGGAGAGAGAAATGGAGAGAGCCGTGCGGATTTTGAGAAACGTTGCGAGAATGCGAAGTGTTTAGCTCTGTGAAATTTGTGTTAATTGTATAATTTCCAATTTTTATGTCAAAAAATAAAACGATCTGTATTTCGAGTATAAAAAGGGTAGTATTAAAAAATGGCTCAAAATTTTCAGCAGAAAAAAAACGAGAAATTTGGTGGGATTGCGAGAATTCGAGACAGCGAAAATGTGTTTAGAGGGGGAAGAAAAAATGACGGTCATTAATAATAAATGGAGGCGGAGAGGGGTGGGAGAGAATTGATAAAACATTTAAAAAAGGGCGGAGCTTCCGTTCCATTCCAATCAGCTCCTAATCGATAAGCGGCGAGGCTTGGGAACTCGTCCCCGCGCTGTCCGTGGCGTATCCTGGAAATCTTCGGAAACGATTATTTGGATTTAAAATTGCCTAAAAACGGTTCTAGACCAAAATCAGGTCCCACCACGAAAACTACAGTAACCCCAAAAGCTATATTATCATTATTTGAAAGCCCTGGAAAAGCCAAAAACAAATCTTTTTTCAAATTCCAAAAATATGCATTTTGAACCAAGTTACGGCCATGCCATTTAAAGTTGGTGGCCTAGAAATCCAAATCCAGAATTTTCTAGGCCACGATTTTATAATTTTTCGATAGAGCTTGTTCAGTCGGAGCTACTGTTCAAGTATCATGAAGATAGGACCACTGAGAGCCGAGTTACAGCGTTTTGCAGTTGGTGGCCTAGAAATCCAAAACTCGGCCACATTCACATCTCAACTCATAGGGGTTGTAGAAACTTGGAATTTCGTGTACCGACAGTCGACAACATGGAGAATGTTTTGAAAATTGTCGGTGGCCTAGAAATCCGAAACTAGGAATTCCTAGGCCACCACCTGCAAATGACCATAACTTGGCTCAAAGTGGTCCTAGAAGCTCAGGTAAACGATTCGGAATTAGATCTGAGTTCATTCGGAATTAGATCGGGACTAGATCTAATACCGAAGTTGCCACGAGAAATGCGCCATCAATGACTCAGCTACCGCGGATGAATTGTTTTGATTTTTTTTGTTGTCCTAAATTTTTTTCGTCAGGAAAATGGGGTTTTCTCTCAACGTTTGCCTTTTTTTTCGCTCAATTATTTAAACTATTTTTTTTCTGGAACATATTTTAATGTGTTGTGCACGTTTCTGCAAAATTTTAGGTGAATTTTTTTAGGGACAGCTGAATATTCAAAGTTCAATTTATATATATACGACTTTTATAGAAGACAGTAGTTCTATGAACCGACAAAAATACGAATATTTTGAAGATTTTAAATTCAGAGAAAACTCTGCAGGTAAGATAATTTTTGCCTTTTTCAGCTTAAAGGATTACGTAAAAACGATGCAAGGGATCACCGAAAAAAACAAGAAAAAAAGTGATGATAAATTTCTCTGATAGTGAGCTCAATTTACACAAGTCGAGAAGGCCTTACTTTCGGAAGCCGTGTCTTGTCATGAGCAGGTTAGTTTTCGAAAGTCTGGTGGACAAAGAAACATGCGTGAAATTGCAGGCTCTCAACCGAATGTGTCATGACCCGATTAAAAAGATTCAAAATTTTGGGATTTGTTGTATAAAACAATTGCTCTGATGAATTTATTTGGATTTGCAAAGATTTGAGTACGGAAATCATATTCAATTGTCTCAAGTAAGTTCATTATCGACATCACAAAGCCAAAAACTCCTATTTTCAGTTAAACCGGCATTGATTTCATAAAGAATATCCATCTTATCTACAACCGGAAACTATGATAAACGAGAGAATTTCCAAAATCGAAAAAATGGACGAGCGGAAGAATTCGAATTCAGATTTTTTTTTCATAAATTTTGTCACTTTTTCTTATCTCATAGGTCCCATTATTCTCGCTGATCTCATCGTTTTCTTTTTTGCTGATCCCATTCATTCATTTGTATCACACCCCTCATTTTCGTTCCGATTTCCTATTTCTACATTTTAATCAACCGTTTTTCTTTTTCTCATACTTGTTCTGTTTTCTTTTTTTTAAATAAATTTTATTATAAATAAAGTGAATGGCGTTGAAAAGAAAACAAAAATTGGAAAGCGCTCGCTACGATGCTCCGAAATCCCGCTGGTCTGTTCGGAATTAGATCTAATTCGTTCGTAGTTCATTCGGTGTTCGTTGGGAATTAGATCAGCTAAATTCTGTTAGATCATGCCACTTCTATTTACGAACGAACCCAGATCTAATTCCGAATCAAGTCAGATCTAATTCAGAATCGTTTACCTGAGAGGCTCAAAATTTGTCTTTTTCCACTCACCCCTCTCCCGGAATCCACCAAAGCCACCATCAAGAGTGGGCGTGGCCAGTGGAGTGTTCGCTTGCGATGATTTCGACGGTCGTCTTCCGGCCTTCTTCTGCTCCTTCTGACGGCGTCGTTCCATTTCGTATCGGGTGACGGCGGGTGCCCAACGGACCTTCGATTTGTCCAGTATCAGCGATGGCTTCTTACCGTAGTCGTGATCCAGGCAATGCTCCAGAATTTTCGGATGAAGGCGACAGTACCATTCGTTCGGGTCGAAATCCGGCTCGGCGATGTCTGGAAATAGTTCATTTTAGGTCATTTCTAGGCCATTAAAGTTGGTGGCCTAGAATACCCCAAACTTCGAAAGTTAGGCCACAACTTTTTGATTTTCTTGTAAAGCAGTTTCGCAGCAATCTATGGTTTAAGTTTCATGTCAGTAGGACCAATGGCAGCCGAATTATAGTCTTGTGAAGTTGGTGGCCT